TTAGGTGTCTCTCTGAGCTCATCCTGCCTGTACGCACGTATCTCAACCATTCGCCTCGCTTTTTCGATGCCGTCTCATTTGCGCATTACGACTGAAAGTTCCACCAATTTTCTTAATCTTTTTGGCCACTTGTCCATCTCTCGGTGCTCATTTATAGGCTTAATCTCTTCAATGTCCTTAACAGTTGTGGGCAGACTTGGCCGGTTCTCCCCCTCGCTTCTTAGTGTCCTCAGTATCTTTATATGTTTTGCTGATGCTCTCAAATCCTTAAACCATTTATTTCCGTCATCTTGTATTTCCCCATTAAACGTTTCGTCTGGTGTACATACGGGGATTGAACCATCTCCACAGTGGACCCAGTCGTCTTGATCAAGATCTGACGGGTCAGATATAGGTCCTTCGAAGATTTCGCTCGTCCTGCAATCAAACGACACACGGCGTTGGCTTAACAAGAGTACTCTCTGCAGGGCAAGTAATTCCTTGTGTGTGAAGAAAGTGACTGGAAAACAAACGCTCGCTCAGGGATGAATATCATTCTCAAAAGAAGCGGACTCTTTACCGGATTGCCGACGAGTAGCGTGTTCAAAATACGAAATGTTTACAAATCCACCAGGAAACTTCTGAAACGATCTCGTTTACCATATATCTTGTACAGTGCTCCTTCATTATATGTGAGAAAATGACCTAAGCAGTTGATGTGTCTCAGGAATTTAAATTCACGTGAAACTGCAGTTCATATACGTACCTGTGTCCTTGAGCTTCTTGGTAGTTGAAAACGTCGTCTCCGAAGAAGAAGCCCTTATCTTCTACCGCCTGCGCCTTGAAATCATCTCCGTCTGTCTCGGAGGCTGACACAGCAGAGGGGCTCTGGAAAATACGCGACATGGGGAATTGGTGAAGACACAAGCGAAACACTTCCGATTTCTCTCCGTGACGATAAGACAGGTTTTATAAATTATCTGTAACGCCAGAAAAATAACGACAGTGGAACTACGGTTCCGGAGAATCTGACGTAAATACGTCTTTGTATTTAAATTATATTTAAGAAATAAATACAACGAAAGGAAGTTTATATATTAGCTTTATTCTAAATATTCCCTTTATACATGCTTTACAATTGGGTAAATAGTTTGATTAAGACATTGCTTATTTAACTTGAATTAGTTACGCTTAAGATGGGTCTGTGGTAGCTGAAATATGTTATAAAATTTGTGCACTTTAGAGTATCGACATTTCGTGCAAACACCATATCTATACAGGATCTTGATCTAGTAGTACTACATTGAGGATTTGACATCAACATTAAGCCAAACGTTTCCTCCATAAATGTGACAAAGCTTTGATTTTCCTCCTTCTTTAAATTAATGTTAAAATCTCCTGCCAATATTACGACCTTCTGTGGCCATAATTGAAAACATCTCTGTAAATTTGGGAGCAGTATCACAGATTTCTTAATAATTCTTATATAAGATAAGTACTTGCGATATTCTAAAACGTTTTTACCAGCACAAAATTATCTACTCTACGACGCACTTCTACAAGCGATTAACAGCTCAGCTCTTTCCGCAATAACGAAAGAGTAATGAAACACAACAATGCCGAGTAAACGGATGACGTAACAATTAGTTTCTTAGATAGCATAACAATGCACGCAGGAGTTCATATAAAAGCTGACCATTGTCGGTTCATATTTACACATTGTTGATATGGAGGAGATAGTATCTGACAACAGCTTCCTTCCATGTCCTCTTCAGTTCATTATTCATTCGACACTATATAGTCTCGAGATATTGAAAGCGATGTTAAATAAACTACAGAATACATTTCAAATACCCTTTTCTGCAAAACCCTCGTTCTTTATTCTTCCCTCGAAGTTTCTAAGATAAATTTTTAAAACAACAATGCAATGCCGCAGTTTTGAGTTTTCATCTTCACGTTTTTAGGTAGAGAACGGGAAGACACGATTCTGAGCTGAATGGACGCAAATATTCCTGCAATTTAGTCTGCGTTTACTTTGTTTCTTGATATGATTTCGAATTGTTACTGGTGTTACTTACATGCAGAATTTTAGGAGATATAATACACGGCCAGTAACGCCATGGGAAAACGTTTCTTACACATTTATTGAGATTATTGGCTTTGTAACTCACCCGATTTTTGCAGAATATCCAGCTCCTTAAACTGCTTACATTATTTTCCTCGATATACAAATCGTCACGCAATTTGCAACAACAAAATGCGAATAAATTCTTCCGTAATATCATGAGCATGTCCATTTTATCTAATGTATTTGTTCCTAATGAGCGTAACGAAGGAAATAACGGTAAACAGATTAATGTTCCCGCTCTGTATTGTTGAGACTTCCTTCATTGTTGTCTTTACGTAGAAGCTGATAATTGTTCATTTGTCCACAGGAGCGCGCTGCTAGTCTCTGTCCTGAACCACTGAACCACACACTCACACTCACATCCTGCTTCTTAAAAATCTATCTTATGTGATAAGTTGTAATTTTACGTATGTTTAAATTTGTGTTGAACACGGATTTACCTATTTTCACCAAACTTGGCATATTTATTCCTTTACATCAGGGAGAGAAGAGGAAAGTGAAAACTCGGGATAAAGTGTCCTGAGTTTGATTCCCGGTGATGGTGTGGTCTGTAGCTCGGAAACTAAGAGCAATATAATAACGGCGCGAAGGTCAAAGCTATCCTTTACGAAGAGAAGATTATAGAAATAAAGGGCACATCCCCTAAAATCTGGGTTCGATTCCAGGTGACACACATCCTGCTGCTTAAAAATCTATCTTATGTGATAAGTTGTAATTTTACGTATGTTTAAGTTTCTGTTGAACACGGATTCACCTATTTTTATCAAACTTGGCATATTTATTCCTTTACATCAGGAAGAGAACAGGAAAGTGAAAACTCCGGATAGTGTCCTGAGTTTATTGGAACACAACGTTGGTGGCGCAAAATTTTTCATACGTTGGCTCTACTTATTTTTTCTCATTGAGACGTAATTACACCACCTTTTATTCCCACATCATTTGTTCCTTTGGTTTGTTCTGTTTAACAATGGAATTGAATAAAAATTTGTTTATTTGCATAACCACGGTAATCATGTTTAGATTGTAAATGGCCAATTTCTCTACACAGGGGTTTTCTATTGAAAGGCAAGTGTTCTCACATAATAAATTAGTATCTTATAAGATAACAGTCGATAACATCACTGGAAAACATTTAGGGAGTAAATGTTAACGTCGAATTGAAGTTAGGAGTTAGTTTAGTTCCTGTAACTCCTAAGTGGAGCATAGGTCCTCCTTTCGGAGGTTTCATAGTCTTTAAAGCGTGCATTTGAGAGTAAGTGAGTGACTAGTCCACTGACTCTGGAAGTTAGGAGGAATGTGATAATCATTTGGACTGCTCAGATGGATCTTTTGTCATAAACTTTATCTTGGGCTACATTATTTTTAATAAATGAACTCAAACAGAATAAAAAACAATCTTTAGGAAGGAAATAGTCTCACAATAGTATGAATGAATGAAGCATTTATCATTCTGAACTGTCTGGTCGATAAACAAACACTATTACTGGACGTCTTAAAACTGTTCTTGAAATGTAACTCTGAAATATTTTATAATTTTAGATAACACTAGGCATGAAGTTATCCGGTTGTGTAATTGTCGCTGAAAGGAAATCACAAAATTATCACACAAATGCAATAAATCGAAAAGAAATGTTCGTAAGGGTATCTAAACTTCGTCTCAAGAAAGCAGTATATTATAACAAATACACAACAAAGATAACTTATTTAACTTTCACAGAACCAACATCAAATGCTGGAAAAGAAATCTCACGCGTCGAAACGAAAATAAAAGTACATTTGTGGAGTCTGTCTACGGACTAATTATTATGCGAACTTGAAAAGAAAGGTGACTGAATTTGTTACCAAGTACGCAAAACATTTTGTCGTGCTATTTGTGTTGTGTGCGTTACAAAGAATGAATGAGGAGAATCATTATATTCCTGAACGAAATACCATTTAGACAGACGTACGTCTGGAAATTACAGACCACAATGCACATTCCTCATGCACTTCGTGCAAAGAACACAGAAAAATAAAACTTGATTTCGGAAAATATGCTAGTATTTATCAACAGAACTGTACTACGCGTAAAATTCAGACCACAGTGTGACATAGTTTAATCGAAACTATAGCACACTGTGGTCCTTTATAAATGTTTAATCATTGAGAATTTATAAAGGACATTTCCTTACAGCATTTAGAAGATTTATTAAATCCTCCTAGCCGAGCGAAGTAGCTTAATCGAAAACACCAAGAGTTTTAAGTAACCTTTCAACAGATCCTAATTTATATCACTTAAAAGCATATAAAAATAGTCAAAACTGAATAATCTTTAATTATAACATACACGCAGTTTTATACCACAATTTGTAATCTTGGTAAAGACTGGCGTCTAAACAAATGGGACACGTGTCACGCAGGAGAGACTGAGTTTGCTTGCATCTACAGTGAGACGTATGTCATGTCAGAAGGACGTAATGCAGACAGTTCTATTTGGGAGTATGGACACTAATAATGCGCATTTTTCACACCAAATAAATGTAATAATTTATTCTGCTGTAAATCAGTAATTAATTACTAATACAAATATGGATTTTCAGGGCTTCAAGCAAACACAATGCAAGTATCTTTACTGGTTACGTGCATTATAATTAAACTTTTGGTACGAAACGTCTTATGTTTCGGCCCGGAGGACTCTCCATGGGAAAACAGAGAATATAACGGAAGACACACAAAAAATATAAAAGGCCAAGTTGTGGTACCGAGGAAAGTTAATCAGGACAGCGAGTTCTTGTCCTACTCGCTTCCGCACTTCTACGAACGCGATACGAACAGGCGCAGAAAGCGGGAAGTTCCTGACGAATCCGACAAAGTGCATTACGGCCTTACATTCAACGGTATGCACCACCACGTAGAACTCTGGCCAAACCATGACTTCGTGTCACCAGGAATGATGGTAGAAGAACGTAGTCCTGGTGCCAACCTCGACATCAATAAAACAAAGATAAGACCAGCGAATACTACTCAGTGCCATTACATCGGACGCGTGAAAGGTCACAACGACTCTCGTCTAGCGCTCTCTGTCTGCGACGGCATGTCTGGTTACATAAAGACTAACCACGGTCATTACTTCATCGAGCCCATGGAAGGTCACCAGCCGGAGGAAGATGGCCAACACTTGCATGTAGTGCATAAGAGATCTGTAAGCGAACACAAAACCTGTGGCACTGGCGGGTGGGAACAGGGGTGGAGAGATCGCCTTAGGTTGGAACACAGACGGGTTCGGGCAGTGAACGGAACAGTTTCCAGCAAACACCGTTACTTAGAGCTGCTTGTGGTGGCCGATAGGAAGTTTCTGAACCATCATAACCACACCGACGTAGAGAACTACATCCTGACTATAATGAACATGGCGTCTAACTTGTATCACGACGCCAGCGCCGGAAACCTGATAGACATTGTAGTGGTCCGTATTATCTACTTGCACAAACAGGAGGAAGAAATGGACCTGCACATCAACCAAGACGCTGACAAGACGCTTAAAAGCTTTTGCAAGTGGCAAGCATCGGTGAACCCACAAGACGTGACGCACCCAAACCACCATGACATTGCTGTTATGCTCACGAGGTTCGATATCTGCACCAGTAACATGACCGAGTGCGAGCTCCTTGGACTCGCTCACGTGGCACAAGCCTGCAATCCCAACATGTCGTGCGCTATCTGCGAAGATTCTGGACTGGTACTGGGAGTCACTGTGGCTCACGAGGTCGGGCACGTTATGGGCTGTGGGCACGACGACGGGGTCGATTCAGAATGCCAGCCCATGGCAGACGAGGTCAACGCCCACGTCATGTCACCATTTGTGCAAATGGCGACTGCAAACTGGTCAACATGCAGCAAGAAGTTCATGCAGGAGTTTCTGGACAGCGGCCTGGGGGACTGCCTGCTGGACGAACCTCAAGCACACAACTTCAAATTTCCGGAAATGCCTCCTGGAGCTATGTACGACGCGAACTTCCAATGTGGTCAGGAGTTCCAGAATCCAGACGTGGTATCCTGCGATATGGGCCCCGAAAAAAATTGCAAGGCCCTATACTGTGAGTATAAACCCAAGAAATGTGCGTCACACATGCAGCCACCTGCTGATGGGACCAAATGTGGCATCAACAAGTGGTGCTACAACCAGAAGTGCGTGCCAGTTGGGCAGAGGCCTGAGGCTAAGAATGGAGGATGGGGTGCGTGGACGCCGTGGTCAGAGTGCTCCAGATCGTGTGGAGGAGGCGTCAGCTTTATGGAACGGGATTGCAACAACCCTGCACCCGAAAACCACGGCAGATACTGTCTGGGAGAGCGTAGGAAATACCGCATCTGCAACACAAAACCGTGCAACCCCGAAGATGCAACCTTCCGAGAACAGCAGTGTAGCCAATATGACGATGCGGAGACTCACTTGACCCCGTTCCTAAGCACCGAGCCACAAGAAGTGTGTAAGTTGTTGTGTATGAACAAAGAAGGAGCGATCACAATGATGTCACCAAGAGCGAAAGATGGAACTCCCTGCAGGCCAGGAACCAAGGACCTGTGTATAGCGGGCATGTGTCGAGTTGTTGGCTGTGACTGGATTCTAGGGTCGGAAGCCGTGGAAGACCGATGCGGGGTGTGCAAAGGCGAAGGCAAGGAGTGCACAATTGTGGAAGAGACATTCAAGGAAAACGGAAGTGGATATGTGAAGATCGCGACCATTCCTACTGGCAGTAGGAGGATATCAATCGAGGAGCTAGGTCCAAGTGACAACATGCTAGCCCTGAAGGTGGGCGATAATAAAACGTTCCATCTGAATGGAGATTACAGCGAAGAGGGCGACCGGGAGCTTCACGTCGCCGGAACAGTCGGCTATTATTTCCACCCGGAGGAAGACCGCGAGAAGATTGTGATCTCTGGTCCAACAAAAAACCAGATCATACTGTATGCTTGCTTCTTCGACGATCCAAACCCAGGGATCACTTACAAGTACGCAGTGCAAAGTCACAACAAAAGAGAGGCCAGCACCTATCAGCCTCAGTACCAATGGGAGTTTGTGGGTTGGAACGAGTGCAACAGGCAGTGTGGAGGTGGGACACAGGAGTCTGAACCCAAGTGCGTCGAGGAGAGAGACGGAGTAGTCAGTAATTCATTTTGCCCGTTGGCTGACAAACCGAAGACAACGAGCCGCTCGTGTAATCAGCGGCCATGCAAGGCGCGTTGGAGAGTGGGTCAATGGGGCGAGTGTAGCGGGTGCATGTTCAAAACCGGACACAAGATCCGGAAGGTGGATTGTATTCGGGAATCGCCATTTGAAGATGAGGAGATAATGACGGATGATGCAGACTGTACAGAAAAGAAGCCACACGACATGAGTTTGTGCAACAACTTAAAACCATGCGAAAACATCAACGGGAACAGGTTACCAAGGGAATCGAAGAGCGAGAAGAATAGGACCCCTTACAAAAAGCAACAAAATGGCTTAATTGTGATAGACAGAGCCCCACCGCACATGTTCAAAACAACCGAAGTGCCCCTGCCGGAAAAAAAGTCACTAAGACGAAGTGAGTGAAGCACTAGGAGACCGGATAGCGCAGTCTGTGAACACCAATGGAACCACATTTTAAGAAGGGGATAATGCACAACAGCAGATAAAGTAGGCTCAGAGGGAGATAAAAAATAAAAGGGGAAGAAATTATTGAGCAGAATGCAATTAATGTATACACATCAACTGATATGCAAGACAATGTGCTTTTGTACAGAGCAGGTGTTTTGGCCACGAGGACTTTTTGACGGGTCATGTTGCAAACATCAAAACATAAATTTTTTTAAAGATGGCCATCTTCTGGGTTGTAACACCATGTAATCTGGTAGAAGTTTACAAACTCTTCAGAGGTTCTTGCTGCCTGATGGAGGCAGCAAGGACCTCCGAAGCGTTCGCAAACTTCTACCAGAGAAAAACCCAGCAGACCCACTGCCATGAAAACTTCAAATGTTTATATTGTTGTTAATTTACCTATATAAATGTTGCTGTCAAAATTTTAATTTTTTTTTGTACTTGTAAATATACTTCTGTTCACACAATAATTAGTAAAATATAATACTAGTGTATTTACAAAAAAAGCTGTTTCAAATTTTCCCCCAGCTAACAAACTGTCGGTCATCAGGCGGAAGAATTTTGAAATGCTTGATCACGAACAAGAAAGTTTGGAAACTGCTGATACAGAGCACCTAATAAGTAGGTCACAAGGTGTCTGTTTACAGTATAACTGCACCAGAAAGGTCATCAATATAGCTAGTGCGATATTCATGAAGGGCTTACATATAAACAGTACTATAGGAAAGAGAACGGGTGTCTGAAGAACTATTGATGTAGGCCTGAAAGCGAGCGTCTATTGAGCCAATGCATTTCCACAGTGTGTGTACGTCTAGAACATTTCAGATACGACTCGTTACATACCAACTTCAGCTAAACCTTGATTTGTATTCATATTATTAAAAAAAAAGGTAAATCTTTAGACATCAGCATGTGATGGAGGACAGTAATCGGCTTCACGCCCCAAGCGGCATTACCCGAGGTGCGGAAAGGACACAAATTTGATGTTCGATGATACTGGTTCTTAAGTATAAATAATCTGTGATAAACTCTGTGTTAGACAATGGAACCCTAAGTCTGTCATGTACTAGTCTTATGTGGTTATCAACGTTAGAGAGGAACATAATGAAACCATATCGCTTATTTAAGCCACCACAGTGGTCTAGCGGTCAGAACGCTAGCCTTGTAATCCTGGGGTCTCGGGTTCGATTCCCGGTGGTGCCCGAATTTATAACTTGTGTTGGGCAAGGCCATGGTCTAGGCAACACGGAGTTTTCCTCCGTGGCATCCCAACAATTACTCTATTCACACACAGAAGAAGGTAATGGCAAACCACTTCTGAATCATCTGCCAAGAACGTATATGAACAGGTCCTAGTCCGAGAAAAGGATGGAAGGATCCTGTTCATATGGACTGACCTGTCGTAAGACAGAACACTAAATAAATAAATAATCGCTTATTTACTTAGAGATGGTTGTACATAATATTTGTAAACAGCTTCTTAAAACTGCTTTCTCTTTTGGTTCCCAAAATTGTGGCGACTGAACTGGCTTACGATCATGTCTGGTGACAGGCTTTGGTACTAATGGTGGCAAAAGTATTCATAGTTATTTCATGAACAGAAATGTTTGTACAGTCCAGGTTAGCAGTGCATATATCTATGTATTTAGAACATTGTTTCATTATAATATAAAGAAATAATAAATACATAATTCCAAAATTTTAATAACTGGACAAAATGGAAGGACGAAGGAAAGATGTTTGCAGAAATACTCTTACATGCTGGCACATTTCAGAAACAAACTGTAGCAGTGATTAATTTATAAAGACAGATCATCAAACTTTCAGATTTTACCAAAAGGTTTAGGAATATTCATATACAAAGTATCAAATACATGTAGCGTAACACTGAAATGAAAAAAATGTTATAATTTGTCATCAACATTTTTTATAATCTTCACAGGACTACAATAAATCCATGTTTGTCTACAGGTGTAAGAATGTTCTCAAATCTAGCGTACACAATAGTGTATGACGTGCATATTTACAGCGTAATTTTCCTAACACATTCTTCATCTACTGGATCTCAGAGAATTTATCCTACATAAGAGAAAGTTTACTGTCACATCTCATACACTGGTTATGCTTCCACTGTTAGCAGTGATTAACCTTCACTTTGTAGAATCTGCATAGAAAACATTTATATAGATCTTACGGTTCTCAGACAAAACAGTGATAATTTTCTTAACCAACTGATCTTTGTAACAAATGCAATGTTTTATTAGGAACCTAAATTTTAAATATTATTTAGATTGTCTTCACTCATCAAAGTTCTACAGCAGTGATCCCCAAAGCGGTGCCCGCGAGCACCATGGCATCCGCCAAGGCTTTTTTTGGGTGCCCGCGTTGTTACGGAAAGAGGTTATACTGAATAATGAAGGCCATTCAACAACGAACATTATAAAATCAAAGTGCAGATCTCGACTTACTGGCACCCATCTTGACGATTGTTTGCGGGCAGCAACATCATCCTACACTCCCAAATTTGAAAAAACTGGCCGATAAAATGCAGCGCCAAACATCACACTAACTTCCCACTTGAGTAATAATAATTGTACTTATAAAACTACGTATTTTTGATTGCACAGTTTCTTGTATCATTAAACGTCGTGTTGTTTTGTGTATTATTTGGTGTCCATATCTTATTTGTCCAGAGAAAAGAAAATTTGGCTTTGTTAATTGGTTGGTGCCCGCCACGATCTCATAAACTCTCAAATGTGCCCATAGGCACAAAATGGTTGGGGACCACTGTTCTACAGCATACCCAGCGTGCGAGAAAGAAGCATATTCAGTCTACAGAATACTCCAGGTAGAAATATTTTACCTTCAAAGTTTTAACAATACTGTTTACAAAATACTTGCATAAACTTTTTTGTCTTGTCCTAAACTATGACGTCATTGTGAGATTTCAGTCATCTTCTTATAATTTTTTTTACTTTAAGATGGTAAGAAATTATATTTATAAAATATATTAATTACAGTCAATAAACAGCATCAAAAACACAAGAGGCAGAAAGTAAATCTGCACTCATAAAATCATTATGAGAGAAATTACTATGTTAATATGTACACAAACATTATCTTGTGGAATGTTGAGACGCACACAACTGGTCACCTGAAAACAGAGATTCTTGGGTGCATGGTGACTCAAAACACCCACCTATTTAATTCTCAGAGTCCCTCTCTGTTTGTTCATGTTGGTAAGCATAAGCGAAATGTAAGACGTAAGGAGATCGTCCATCTTGTAACCCAGTGAGGTCTCGCAGAGAAGTTTGGAGCCACGCACCAAATTACCTATTGTCATGTGGAAGTACGTGTTGCCTGACGACCAGTTTGAGATTCGTGTGAATGGATGCGTCACTAGAATGTCCTGCACAGACATTTACAATCATGAAATTTTCAAGAAGCTATCAAACCTGCAAAATAAAGTCTTAACATATCAGATCACAAACCAGCAATGGGTATTACACATATCATCAGATGTTAAGTTAACTGTGTCTAAATAGATTAAGTCACCCCCTTTGTGTGAGGAGGCCATGGTCCATCAAGGACTGTAGCGACACACATAATAAATAAGTTACTTGTGTTTAACATTGTATGAGAATTTATAAGATAAGTAAATTGGTATGGATGCAGGAAAAAGTAGGCAAATTCTATTTTAAATGAAGTGCCAAATGACGTAGTATATTGCTTGAAGGATGGAATGAAGAAAGGTAGGTTAGGTTAGTATGGGTTAGGATAGGTTAGATTGGGTTATGTTAGGGAAGATTAGGTCAGGTTAGGTTAGGTTAGGTACACTTAGGCCAGTTTGGGTTCTTTAAGGCGTTACTATGTTATAGTAAAGTACAGCACTTCATAAATCCCTTCCTATTGATATTACATAAAGACTCACTTTAGACTGTGGATGGATGAGGCTCACTCCATGTTTGTTGATTGCAATCAACAACATTTCTGGATAGTTTGGTTCTGTGGTCTGCTTTACCTCAAAAAAAGCAGAACCAAATGTTGGCCATCGGTAGATTATTTTCAGGAAAGTTATCTTTGCTTCTTCTGGACTCATACCTTAAAAAGATTAATTACTACTCAGTAATTAAATAAAAATTCATAGACACTTTTCCTATCTTCATGAAATTAGGCTAAAACATTTGAAATTAATTTTGTCCTGACATCACAAATGTGAAGTATTTTCATCCTCGTGTGAATACAGTTATGAAGCTTCATCAGAGACAGCAAATTTCTTAACAGCTTTGTAAATACCAGATTTTAAAAAAAAATCTGCTCAGTGAAGTTCACTCAATTTTCTTATTCTGCCAACACAACTATTTAAATTCCCTGAATACACTATATTTGAGTGTGTTAATCATGGCAAAGCACACTTAATTTTACTCCACTCTACTCCATTAGGTGCACCACGAGATTAAAGTCAGTTTCTCATTAATATATCGAGCAGTTACCACAGAGGTGACTGTAGGGTATTCTGAGACAAATGTGACAAGAAACACTTTGAGAAGTAAAATTTGGGGACCACAGGGTTGGGTCTCTGCTGCAAAAAATTTCAGGAAAAACAACTTACCTGCATCCTGATTGTAAGCTGCAACAATAGAACGTTTCCAGTCATTGGCATTCTGTATCTTGAGAAGATCTGCAGGTACTAATTCTCGTAGCATTTGCCTGGACAAAGTAACAAATGAACACGAACAAAATACCTTGTACTGCTTTAATACTACTCAACCACATAACACCAAAAAGGAGTTTCAGAAACTGTTAATGAAACCTAGTTCATTACTGTGGCTGCTATGCATCAGTATGATCAAAGGAGCAAGAAATGAGAAATGCATAACAATTTTAACCTAAAAACTTGAAGGAAAACTACACCTGGGATATCTGGGTTTCCTTAAGTGGTAAGGAATCTCTCAACCATTTAAATTACAATGAGCTAATGCAGTCTAGTTAGTGAAATGATCCTTAATCATCCAAAACCCATTTGTAAAGTTTTGATCAGTGATATACACGAACTTAACCACCATGTTCTACAAAAACATGTCACATTTTGTGGTGCAAATAATCAAGAGATAGAAACAACAGTTATTAACTGAAACTAAAACTAACATTATTCTTTTTTTACTCATGTATTATAAGAAGTACAGAGAGCAGACAACTTACGGAATAGCTTGCAGTTCCTGTTTGCTTTCTCCAAATCTAACTCGATAAACCAATGCAGCTAAACGAGAAGCTTCATCTTTGCTACATTTGTGATATCCTGAAACAGAAGCCAATTACTCATATAAATCACTTGCTTACTATGATGATAAAGTGCAAAAGAAAATAGTTACATAAACAACAGTATTTTTCCTTTGATACTGTCACATTTTGCATACACTTCATTGTCTTCATAATCAGTATGTTTTTAATATGAATATGTATATTTCATGCGCTACACGAGAGCATTGAAAATTTTATTTCATTAACTAACTGATTATGAAGAAGATTGTCTTCTGGAATGTTGCACCATGTAGTGTAATGGAAGTTTACTGACCTCAGAGACAATGGTAAACTTCTATCACATTACATGGCGCAACACTCCTGAACCAGTCAACAAATTCCCCATTTTCAATAATACCCAAAGGTTCTGCATTTTATCCACAACTGTCCTTATTTTGAGCCATATGGGTCCAGCACATACTCTAGATCCTATTTTTCAACATCCATTTTAAAATTATTCTATCTATGCTAAGTATCCCAGTTTTCCAATTATATTTTGTATGCTTTATGCATTTTTTTTCTCTCTCCCATGCACTCTACAACCGTGGCATCCACCCCCTTTGGTACAATTATCCTGTACCAAATAGGTACAAATCATGAAGCTAATCACTATAAACTTTTCTCCCACCTTTTTCTGCTCTATCCCTCTTAGGTCCAAATATTATCCTCAGTAACCTGTTCTCTAATACCCTCAATT